TCTATAAAAGTGTATATCCATAGATGCTCGGCTTCCCATTACTTTGATAGCATGAATTTGGCCTTTATTATGAGATTTTCCATCATATGTCACATTATGGCACATAGCTAAGTCCTATGGCCATAAACTGGGCACCAAGAGCTCTCGAAGTCTTCATATGATCATGTTGTTTTAATTAGTTAAGCATTCATATATTTGTAACATGGAGATCATGATTTGATGAGTCTTATGTTGGAAATTGCTGTATAATTTTTCTTTGTAATTTTGCATAGTACTGAATTCTCAAGAGCCCTAGTTTTATGTATTGTGTACTTGATCTCTTTGAGTAGTCTTGTATTGTTTTTGACAACGAACCCAAATTGAATAATATCCTGAATGTAATGAGTGTATGGAAATTGTTTTGTAATTTCTTTCATGTGGCTGTTATAGAGGCAAGAGATGCCATAAGGATTGTAATTTGCAAGCAAATTGAGTTGTTTTGTCAGTAAGTCCTTGGATGTGGTTTCTATACACTATTAGAGGAGAGAATGTGGAGGGAAGGATCCCAGACCACCCAGATGCCTCCGGAAGCTCTGTGGGCCTCTAGGGTTTCTCATTGATATGGTTTGGATTCTTAGACTTGACGAATTAGATGAAGAGTAGGAGCAGGTCGCTTTGTTTTGATTACAACAAGAAGAGAAGGTAGATGTTTTTGGAAAAAGGGTCGAACGGTCTTGTGTTTGTCATGGTCTCCAAGACCCAGTATTCCAGGTGAGTATCTTAATGGGTTTTTTTGTTTTGGTTGTTATGGTGTGTGGTGGTGGGTGGGTGGGTGGGTGTGTGTGTGTGTGTGTGTGGGTTGGGGGGGGGGGGGTTGTGAGGGAGAAGCCCATCCATGTCTGCCTGGTCGTAACGAACTTCGAAGGCGAGGAGATTTCCTTCTTGCCTTTGCCGCTTTGAGTCTGGTCTGTGCATCCGCCTTGAGGAAGGCCACAATGTCCTCCTCCGGTCCATCATAGTGGAAGCCCATTTATCTTGAGAACTTGATGGATGTCTCCCTGATCATTGTCCATTCCTTTGAAGCAGCTGGAGTCCATTGAGGGCGAAGAAGTGGAGGGGGAACTAACAGAAGAGCTGGCAGGAGAAGCCGGGGTGTTGTAACACAAGAGGGAGGGTCAAGGTAGAGTTGAGGGGGAAGTAGCGGATGAGAAAAAGACTGGGTTGGAGGGGAAGGGGGGGGGGGTTATGTGAAGGTGTTTGTGAGAGGGAAGCAGGGCGAGAATGGGGTAGCTGGGGTTGAAGAACTGGAATGGGGTTAGTGAGGGATGATGGATGGGAGAAATGATAAGGTGGAGAGGGTGGGGAGAGAAGGGCAGGCTTAAGAGGGGTAAGGAAGGTTGGTTAGAATCCGGGGTAAGGAAAGGTGCTGGGGTAAAGGAAGTTTGGGAGGAAGAAGGGGTTGGGGAAATGGAAGGATTGGAGGAGGCCACTGGCCTGGGAACCAGATGGTGGGGGAGAAAAAGGTGGGATGGGGAGAGGAAAGAGGTGGGTGTGTGCAGGGGGGATAAGGGGTAGATACAAGGTTTGGGGCCATGGGCCAAGTTGACGGAGATGGCGGGGCCGTGCAGGGAGGGGCGAGCGATGGTCTGCATAGGATACTGGGCAGGGGGTATAGGTGGTAAGCGGCTGGAGGGGACTGGTTATGATCCCTGAGGGAGGGTTGGTGATGATGGGTTCACTGGGTAGAGAGGAGGAAGAGGATCGAACAGTTGAGGGGGGGAAGATGCAAGTTGGTGGGTGAGAGAGAGACCGATTTTAGGGAAAGCTAGTTAGGAGGGACAGATGTTGAGGCCGTGGTTGATTGTATCTGGCGATGAGGGTACCAAGGCAAGGGGAGGCAGCGCACTGGATGAGGGGTTTGGTGGCCCATCATGAGAAGAGGAGGATGAAGGAGGGCCATCATGGTATCGACCACAGTGGGGGGGATGAGGCCGGGTGTCTCACGAGGGGGCAACGGGGCCTGCCACCCATCTCAAGGTTGCGAGTTTGATTTCTGAATGGGGAGGAGAGCGTGTGAAGATGCATACTAGAGGGCATTACGTGGCTGACGTACATAGGATCTGTCATGTGAGAGAGAGAAAGGGGTGGGATGAGGAGTTATGGGTAGCGGCTGCAGAAGGGCTCATGTCAACCCTATCTTGGAGAGGCGAAAGGGCAGGTGGATTAGGGGGCCTGGGTGCTTGGGGATGAACCATAACTGTAGCATTACGGGTGGGGAAGGCTTCGGTGGCCCTTCAATGGAAAGACCGACAGTTATGATGGCCCCTTCACCCATAGTGCTTTCCTTTTGACTCCCTAGTATGGACCCCCAATCATGGTCTCGAGCATGGAGGTTGGAGTGGGGAGAGACCGCGGACCAGGCCTATTGGATAGAGAAGAACTGTCCCTTTAAAGCTATCCAGAGCTCGTAGGGGATCGGCTTTAATTCTAGGGTTTCAATTAGCAATTGGATAGTGCCCAAAGGAAGAAACTTCGACGATTTCCGGTGCATGGGGATATGAATCGTCCACATGCCTCTCTGATTACTTTGAAGGTGGCAGTGTGCCATGCCTGAAGGGGAATGTGGAAGGCTCGAATCCAAAATCTTTGCTTGCGGGGGGCTCCCAAGTCCTGTTTCCAGCAGACCAGGGACATGGAAGCTCCTCTGAACTGGGGGTTGCTCCATTGCAAGGCTCTGAGGGTGCTGCCTTCAGACGGAAAGGAAACAAGGACTTCACCCCTTGAAAGTTTGTAACAAACCAGGTCTGGTTCGTCCCAAAGACCTTGGCCCTATTTTTGCCTCTGATAGGCCTCTTTGGTGATGGAAATGTCCAATCAGGGATGACTGTAATTTCTTCCCCAGCGCTGCATAAGTGCTGGCCCTTTAGGAGGATTAGGTTCGAGTAAGGCAGTCTATGATGAGGGTGAGGGAGAGAAGATGGTTGAGGCGGCAGATGTGCTTGGATGGGGGATGCAATTGGTTTTGAAAGGGAAGGAGCAGAGGGTTTGAGAAGGTGCACATAGTTCTCGTAAAGGGGTGGCGGTGGAGGAGGGAGGCATGGAAGACCATGGGAGGGAGCTATCCCTTTTCTACCTACTCAGTTTGTTAAGCTACATGGCATACAGCAAACTGTTTGTGATCTAGTTAACTCAAGTAATTCATTTGTTTTATTTGATCAAACAAGTGATCAATTGATGTTTGATCATATTTATCACAAAAACTTTTGGTGAAAAATCAACTGAAATATTTTGTGAAAAATTGCATAACCAGTTCCTTGCTGGTTTTTGCACTGCTGCATAAACAGCAACTTGTTTTGGATCTAAATCCGTTTACAATCATCATCAATTGCAAGAATAAATTTCTCAAGGTCATAGTAGACTATCTCAGAAACATTTAACAAGGAAATTTGATCAAAATCAGATCATATAATGATCACATTAAATCGAAATACTGCTGAAATCATGACAGCGTCAGCAGCATCAGAAAATTTCATGTTCACAATTTTATTTCAATAATTTTGATTATAATTGGGATAAAATTTTATAACACACTTGAGCTCTCCCTCTCTCTCTAGAATCAAGAGATCTCTCTCTCTCTCGACTAAGAGTTCTATTTTTCTCTCTAGAATTCAGAAATCACTTTCTCGCTCTAGAATTTAGAAGATCTCATCTTAGAGTTAAGAGTACTTCTTTCACTCTAGAATTAAGGGAGATAGAATATTTTGCATTTTGTTTGTTTCTCTCTCAAAGACTTGGAGTCATATTTTTTCCTTTGAAGTGCCACGTTCTTGGATCCTCTCTCTGATCTACCGCTCCAAAGATCAGCCACAATTCTTAAAGTTTCTCTCTTTCTCATCGATTGAAGGAAAAGTGAGGAATAATGGAGTTCAAATATGTAAAGCCTCAATTGATCAAGTTTTTTTTCATAGCAGTTGGATCACAGATCAAAGAAGGTAATTTGATCTCTTTCGTTCGACGTCTCTGCAAATTAATCTTGAAATCTCTTCTTGATGATAAAAAATCTACAATCAAGAGAATATTGCTAACATTCAACAATGGATTACACTGAACTCTCCTTATTGAATGATCAAATTTCATGAGGAATAAGTCATAATTATTCTATAAATCATTCGGATTTTGAGCTTAGAATGATCTAATATCAATAAAAAACAATTAGCTCCAAGGTCACATTGTTTTGTTGATCAAATTATCATGAAAATTGTGATCTATTCTATCGTTCTGCTGCTTCTGGTTTTTGCAGCATAAAACCAGCATTTTGTTTATGAACTAATCATAGTTCCTTGATAATTTTATTGCTGGAAATTATTTCCATATCGAAGATAATATTGGAGGAAATCATTATGATTAATTGAGAATAAATGACAGCATGATGATCACACTAAAATGTAGAATTTTCTCTACTGATTATGCAGCAAAATATTACAGTAGTGTTACTTCAAATTTGATCAATATATTGATCAGTATATTGATAGTGATTTGCATCTTGATTGATCCATGTATGTTTATACACTGTTTGATCAGTAATTTCTAAGGATTAATCAATTATTTTGAAGAAGATTTCATCAAAGATAATTTTATGGTTTTGTCTCAGATGCTGCTAAGAAATCAGCATCAAAACTGTTTACATGTTGCTGAATTGTTTTTTTTTTTTTTGGTGATCTGATAATTTCCAGCAACTTCATAGATTATTTTTGATAAATAGTTTGTTAAACATTGGCATGAGATTTAAGAACTTGCTGGAAAAATGAGATTAAACATGATTAATTGGTCTTGTACATCGTAAGAATGAACACGACTGCTGCTGTTTTCTCAGCAGCAGCACGTTTGTCATTCTTCGGTAGTGAATTCTCTATATTAATTGACATAGAACAATGGCTTTTTGGGAACTATGAAACTGCCTTTGCTTTTGAGAACCATTTTATATAACCTGAATTGCTCAATTTTTTTTCTTGATTCTTAAGGTTGTGGCAGTTCTGGTTGGCAAGCTCCAGAACAGCTTCTCCATGGGCGCCAAACCAAGGCTATAGACATTTTTAGTTTAGGTTGCGTCCTCTACTTTTGTATGACCAAAGGTCGACATCCCTTTGGTAAACCATTAGAGAGGGATCTCAATATCAGCCATGGGAAGTTTGATCTATGTTTGGTTGATCATATACCGGAGGCTGTTGACCTTTTATCTCGCATGTTAGCCCATGATCTAACAATGAGGTGAAGTTTCTATTCTCTCCATGTAGTCAAGAAAGTTTACATTTTATTCTTGTATTGAATTTGAATTTCATTATACTTCCGTGTTTTTTATGTCAAGACCAACGGCACAGGAGGTATTGCTTCACCCGCTCTTATGGACGGGTGAATGGCGTCTTAAGTTCCTTCAAGAAACTAGTGATAGGATAGTGTCGGCACACAAGAAGTCTAATCTTGTAGTTGCAATAGAGGGAATTCATCTTTCAGCTCCCCATAAAAGATGGGATAAAAACATGGATGATGCATTCGTTTCAAACTTAAAAAGTGGTCCTAGAAGGTACAACTTTCGCCGCATTTGTGATCTTATTAGAGTCATTCGAAACTTTTCAACCCACTACAATCAGCTTCCGAAACATATTCAGGTTCGTAATAGTATTTTTTGAATTACTGTCTTAGTCTTCTGTTTTTCAAAACATGATGGACAATTAGAGCATTCTAAGCCACTGTTTTTTCACTGTTCATGTTAATATTCTTCCAAATACCATGAATTACTTATTGCAGGAACTTCTTGGACCAATCCCTAGTGGATTCTATAGCTATTTTGCAAGTCGTTTTCCAAATTTACTACTGGAGGTATACAAAATTGTATATCAATATTGCAGGGAAGAAGTGTGGTATAAGAATTTTGTTGAAAGTATGAAGAAAACAAACGATCGCTCTTAATTCATTTTGTCTAAATATCATCCTTTTTAATTTGTGTTGTCTTGCCGTGTGCAATAGATTGCGCTAATTATATTTGTAAATGAATGTGGATCCACTAAGTTGGTTCCTATGGATGGGTGGTTTTCCAATGATGGCTGAAAGTATGAATCTTGGGATAGTCTATGTAGATCAAATGTTTAAAAAGGGGCATGTTCCATCATGAATGATAGTGTGGTCCATTTGGGTTACTGTGTAAATATGAATGTTATTTTATATATTGAGAATGTAGGATTTTGTGAAGGAAACTATGCATGCTGATATTTAATTTTTGAAAAAAACCAAAGATATATTCACTATTGAATGATGATATACCCAAATTATTGAATCTTATTGCTTGTTGGAACCATTTCTTTCCATAAATCATGATCCACAGAGCAGAGAAGAGTGGTATAAGAAATTTGTTGAGCACATGAGAACAAAAAAATGAACGTTTTTTATTTGTTGTTTATACATACTCCTTTTCAACTTGTTTGAAAGTATGAATCTTGGGATGGTTGATGAAGACCAGAATTTTTAAATGGACATGGTCCATCATGAATGGCGTGGTGGAGCCATTTGGGTTGCTAGTTGACTATGAATGTCGTTTTATATATTGGAAATGTAGGGTTTTGTGAAGGAAATTATGCATGCTACTATTTGATTATTGAAAATAAAATAAAATATATTTACTATTGAATGATGATCCCTAGGTTGTTGAATCTCACTATGTATTTGACCATTTTTTCAAAAATTATGATTCCGATAGGGAATCACATGATCTAGACCCGGATTGGGTAGCTGCTGGTTTGGTTCTAGGTTGCAACCTAGACCGATTGGGTACCCGGATTGGGTAGTCGCTGGTTTGGTTATAGTTTGATTCCGATAAAGAATCTCCCTATGTATAATCTTTGTATAAGGTTGCAACCTTAAACAATCAAATTAAGGCGCATCTTCAAATTTTATCATAAATATAATTTTGGTGTAAAAATTCTTAGGAGGGCTTGAGAATCTATTTTCATCTCTTAATATAAAATCTTGAACTCCGAAAATGGTTCAAATCTAGTAGATTTATAAACACTTGAAAATTTTAAAAATAGACGGTCCAGATAATTTGTTGCAAGATATACTATTTTAAGATATTAAAATCATTTTTTCCTTTCATACTCATATATCTCGACATCGAGATCACCAATTAGAGGGTTTTCTAACATCAAAATAAACATTAATTCTACCTTTTTAAGGTTGTAACTTTATATAAGCTTTTTTCAATATCTAAATATATGAATTCCATGTCAAATAGCCTATATAATTTTGGTTAATGCACACGGATGCCAAATGCTCAAGGGCCCGTTTTATAGCCTTACCAAATTAGTGAAATTACAGCTTGGTCTTTTTGGGAAATTCGCCACTTTCTCACCTAATCCTTCTGCAAATCTCTCTCTCTCTCTCTAACTCAACCAACCAACACTTGGAAAGTAGGTGTGCTCATCCCCCACCCCTGCTAAAAATAACTCTCTCTCTATAGAACTTGCACCAAAAACTAGCCAGATCTCTCACTCCCAGTACCAAAACCAACATCTCTCCCTCTCTCTTGAACTAGCCCCAAAAATTTCCCCGAATCTTTCACCCACCAAATCAAAAACTCTCTCTCTCTTTCTCTAAACAGCCCTAAATACCAAACTAGTTTGATGACAATTTGGGGCAGATGGGTTATCCGAGGCAAACTAAGCTGACAATGGCGATAGAGAGGTTCCCTATGTGGCAAAACACCAACCATAGCATCTGAAGAATTTAGCAGGTGTTTTATAAATTTAGCAGGTGTTTTATAAATGGGATTATCGGTAAAGAGATCATTTATTTTTATTTATTTTTGGGTAGTTCAATGGGGAAACTTTTTTTAAGTAGATTAAGAGTTAGCTTTTTGAAGGTATTAGTAGGGTGGTTTTAGTGATAGGATTGGAAACTACAATGTGATGATTAAGGTGTTGGGTGCTACCCCGTCCCCTTTTGTAAAGAGACCATTTACTTTTTTGTCAACTACGCATTTTTTGTCATATTTTTCTGCGAGGCAATTTTTCTACCATCACAACCTATTCGACGTTAACTTTTGTGTTTTGAGGGGTTCACACACACACACACACACACACATATATATATATATATATATATATATATA